AAAGAAAGAGAAGAATTACTAGAAAAGGTTATAGGAATTTTGGAGCAAATGAAGTGAAGGGTCTAAAGATCAAAATTCCAAGAAATCCAAAAAGTTGAAGATACCAAAAGTCAATACAAGTTGGTGAATTCAAAGATATCAAAGATCAAATGTCAAGAAAATGAAGAATTCGAAGAGCTCCATAGTGGTATCGAAAAGATGTAATTCTAGAATATGTGTGCTTGGGTTGCTCAATTAAAAATACCTTGAGGATAAAGAGATTTTCTGAGGATGGATTCGGAGGGTTGCATAAAATGAGCATAGTTCGGGGTGAGTGGGCGAATGTTTATGAGGATTGTGAGTATTTGAAGTATGGGGGGTTTTAGGAAATTTTAGACACAAATGCATGCGTTGCGGTCTTGGCATAATGGTTGGGTTGGATTGGAGTTATTACATGTGATTTTAATATGTTTAAAATTTAGTTTTGCTTGGGGGCAAGCAAAAGTCAAGTGTGGGGTATTTTGATATGTGCATAATTAGTTAATTATTTAGCATTCATTCTTAGTTATTTTTGATTAATTATGTGAATAATGTGGACAAAAGGTACTTAAAATGTTATGAATTTTGTTTTCAGTCCAAAAGATATGCTTGGAAGCAAAAAGGAGAAAAGGAAAGCAATTGAAGATTAAAGAGTGAAAGAAGGTGATATACTCGGCGAGTAGATCGACCCTACTCGGCGAGTACACGAGGATATTCCAGAAGATAAATATGACTGCTGATTCAAGACAGATAAGTATGGATCTACTCGGCGAGTCGATTCTGCTACTCGCCAAGTACACCCTGTTTTGGGATATCTATAAAAGACGAATCCTTATCTCATGGGAGGGGACTCCTGGCGATTTTTGAAGAATTAGCTGCGATTAAGAGATTCAGAAGGCGCTAAGGAACCCTAGGCTTCAATAGTTGGAAGAATTCAAGCAATTAGGTTAATTCTACCACTTAGACTTAGGAATTGAACATGTTTGCTTTAGTAAACTTTGTTTCTATGTTTGTTTCTACTGCAATTATGAGCTAAATTCGTTTTTGTTTTTGTTTGGGGAATACCAAAGAACTCCTATGGTTTAATTATTGATTCTTGCTTAATTGTCTATTGGTGATCTATTAAATTAAGTTTGTTAAAGAACCTTATGTATTAATCACTACTATTTTCTGTTAATTGGAAGGCAATTAGGTTGCATGAACATCACTTAATTGTTAACCTCATATGTCTATGTGAATGCTAAACCATATGCTTAGAAGTAATGATTATGAAACTAAGATTAATGAGAAAATAGGAAGATTAATGTGTGAGCTTGTTTGAGAAACCATCAACAAGAGGTTAATTGAATTAATAACTTAATTGACCATTACAAATCTTATTTAATCCAAATAATTAATCTAGGGAATTAATTAGTTTAAACACTTGATCAACGCTTAAATTAGTTAATTGTCTAAGGGTTAGGAGTAATGAATATGAACCTAACTATTATAATTGGTAACCAATAGCAATTAATCTACCTTAAACTCAAATAACCATAGGAGTGAATTGGTTGAACCTAAATAGAAACATCTTTATCAAATATGGTGAATAGTTGTTGCTTTAGTTAATTAGTTAATTTAGTTTGTCTAAGTTTCTAGTCTTGCAAAACTAGAGAAAAACCCTCTACTTTTATTATTTGTTTTAGTTAAAATTAGCTATTAGTTTAATTTTCCGTTCCCTGAGTTCGATACCTTACTTATCAATCTATACCACTTAAAGATAGGTTCACTGCCTTTGTGTGCTCAATTTATTAATAAAAAGTAGGGATAAAACTAGTTGATTTTACACACATCAATCGCTATTTCAATAACCGCTATAGCGGCGCTACGGGCGCTATTCCATTTTCGTCTCATTTTGGGCCATTTGTTACTTTGTCAATGAAAAGCTAGTTTTAATAATCTCACTACAGTTTCATTTTAAAAAGCCCGAACAACTAACATAATTGAAAGCATTCAAAGCAACTATGTCTACCGATAACTCTTTTTCTCACCTCTTTCTGTACTCATGAAGACTTGAGGTGCAATGGTCGGACTCTATTAATGCTTTTTCTAAATCGACCCACACCTATGATGTTGCGATATGGGATTTAACTCCTTAAATAAACCAATACCTAATAATACGATATTGAACCCATGAAATGCAATTAAACTCTATTTTGGCACTACTTAGTTTCCATATTACTATAATAGAATATTATGTTATGTTTTAATATGACTTTTTACATTTGATGATATTAATTCTATATAGACTTATAGTATTAATACTCAAATATATAAATTCTGTATAAATATAATATAAAATTATAAACTATAAGTAATATTTAAAAAAAGCTATATCACCGCTATACCACCATGATAACCGCGATCTCAAATAGCGGCATGTGACCGCTATTGAAATTTTAACCGCGATAACTGCATAGCTTGTGTTATAGATTTTGGTGGGAGTTTGGATTCCTACTTACCTCTTGTGGAGTTTTCCTATAACAACAACTATCACTCCAACGTTGGTATCCTGCCTTTTAAGCTCATGTATGGTCGAAGATGTCGTACCCCATGGAGCTTATTTAGCAGATCAGTAAGAGACTACTAACATCTCAGAGTCAACAGAAGAGTTATGCCGACGTGTGCCGATCATCATTGAAATTTCAGGTCAACGATATGGTTCTACTGAAGGTCTCACACTAGAATGTTTTGATACGCTTTAGGAAGAGGGGGGAAATTAGGTCCTTAATATATTGGAACGTTCTGTGTGATCGTTAGGTAGGTAGGGTAGCTTAACGATTAAATTTACAAAGGGAGCTCAACTAGATTCACAACACTTTCCATGTTTCTTAATTGTGAAAATATGCGTTGGACGATGAGGTAGTGGTCCCTTTGGATGATATTTAGGTCGATGAGCTCCTGAATTATATTGAGATACCGGTAGCGTTAGTGGAGAGAAAGATGAAGGTTCCACGCAACAAAGAGATATATTTGGTGAAGGTGATGTGGCAACATCGGAAATACTCCGAATGGACCTAGGAATCAGAGACGGAGATGCGAGAGCATTACCCTGAGTTATTCGTGACAACCGACCTCTAGAACAAAGTCTAGCTCAAGTAGGGGAGAATTGTAACACCCCGATGATAAGGTATTTTCATTTTTTAACCTTGAGTATGAAAGAACATTGCATTTTAGCCCTTATGTTTGATAAGAACGAAAGAATGGCCCACAGTGGCATTTGAGTAATTTTTGCGAGGAAGTAGTACGTTAAGCGTATGTTGTGTGTGCTAGGTGTACTGGGCAGACCCTAGTACGCTAGGCATACACCGCGTATGTAGGGCGTATGTAATGAAACCTCAAACCCTAATTTTTAGGTTTTAGTTCATATATAAGCATCATTATAGCCTCATTAATCATTTCTTCAGCAGCTTCCAACTGATAATTTGACCCTCTAGCTAACCCTAAGTGAGAAGAGATCTTTTTAGCTTATTTTTTGTGCTTTGTCCGTGTTCTTGAAGAAGAACAAGAAGTTGGTGCAACGACCTTGAAACTTGGAAGCAACTTAGATCTTGGATTCTTCACTTGTTAGCTACCTCCAGAAGGTAAAAATATCCTTGATTGATTAGTATCTCTTGTAGATCTAGTCATTTCTTCATTTAGGGCACTTTTGGTCCCAGGTATGGTAATTCGTGAGTATGGGATGATTTTGACCTAATAAGTCATCCTTTCACACCTTATGAGGGATCTTAAGTCATAAAAATGTGGTCTCAGTGACTAGTTTTCCTCCATGCATGCTATAGAAAGTGTTAAGGCATTAAGATGTTAAGATTTTGTGTATTAAGCACTTAATAGACATGCAAAGTAATAAAGTTGGAAATTGTATGACTCTTGATGGTATTTTAGCCTTGGATCTGCAATTGGACTTGTTAATCGGATAAACAAGCTCTTCATATGTTAAGAAGGGGACTTTTGCGTACACTGGGCGTACCAAAGGGTACGTTGCACGTACGCAGATCTGGCCCCAACTCCTCGGACAGCTTGTACGCCCCGCATACCTCCGGAGTATGCCCTACATATGAAGACTGAGTCGACTCGGATGAGTTGACTCGGTTGGGTTGAACCAGTTGACTTGTTGATTTTGACCAGTTTAACTTAAGGGTGTTTTGAGTATTAGAGATATAGTAAAGCCTTGGTCTCTATCTATTGATTAGGTGACATGTAGAGCCGGTATTTGGAAAAGTATCTTGTTCAACTATTTGTTAGAATGTGAGTTGAGTTTTCCTCACTATTCTTGTGGATCGTAGGCACCAATGCCGGCTCCTATTGGTTATGTATCCTAGTAACCATGATGTTGCTATACAATAGTAATTTGTGGATCTTCCTGCTAGACTGTTAACTGGTTATATGATTGTTTGGTTTTTGATTATATGTTAATTGTTATGTGCATGTCGACATGGTATGGTGGGGTTGAGACTGTACTAGGTATTCCATCCAAAAAGTTTGTGGGTTGGGGGTATTCCAGCCAGGTAGTTATGGACCCGTTATGTATTAGGAATTCCTACTGTAGGGTTGTGGGTCCAGGCATTCCAACTGTAAGGTTGTAGGCCATGGATAATCCAAGCAGGAGGTTGTAGACCCATTATTTGATTGATTGTACATTGTGTAGTGGTATTTTAGGGAAACTCAGTATGCCTTGGCTTACCATTATTAGTTGTGGTTTCAGGTACTTCTAAGGACTGTGGCAAGGCGAAGACATATCCGAACACATCCTTGGTTTTATGTTGTTAATCTTGGGATACTCTGATTTTGAATAATGTTTTAGAAACAATGATTATGTAAACACTTGTTTTTATTAAATGGGTTGTTTTGAAAAGTTTAAATTTGTTGTGATTTTTGAGAAGTTATACCTCCCATTCAATTTCTTATGGGTTCCACTTACCCAATGGTCACTAGATCTCGCCATGGTATCCATAAACCCATTCATCACCTTAATCTTCATGTCACCACTGACTGCCCAATGCTCAAATGTTATTCTGTGGCCTCACAGAGCTAACGAGGTTTGTTTAAGAAGTTTAACAATGTTGGCAAATTTGACACATACAGAGTTCGCCCCGTTGCCAACGGGAAGAGCCAACGTCCTAACATCGATAGTGATGAGACGTTTAGTCGGATTGTTAAACCGACAACTACCATTCAGACGTGAAGACTGCTTTTCTTCACGGACATCTTCATGAGACTTTCTACATGCATTAGCGCCTAGGATTTCGATACTCCAAAAATCAAGATTATATCTGCAACCTTGATTTCAATGATTTACAGAGTACATCTCCAAAATCAGCTTTGGTTATAGCAAAATTGATTCATCCCTTTTCATTTTAAAGATAGAGGATGTAATTGCTTATTTGTTATTGTACATTGATGACATTATATTGACAATCTCCTCATCAGATTTCCATCAGAGCACCATTTACAGGATGTCTACTGAGTTTGTCATGACTGGCCTAATGTACCTTTTTTTTCTCTATTTCAGCCACCCAAAGACGATTATGTATTTTTCATTCTCGGTGGAAATATTCATTGGAATTATTAGATCATGCTCACATGGAAACGTGCAACCCTATCACACCCCAATTAAGTCTCAAACGAAGCTAACTCATGATGATCCTCTTGTTGCTGACACGACTCTTTACCATAACCTTACGTGCAACCTTCAATACCTCACATTCACTCGCCCGAACATCTCTTTTGTTGTTCGGTAAATCTATCTATACATGCACGATCCCCGAGAGCCACACTTCCATGCTCTTAAGCGCATCCTCAAATACACACAAGAGACCATTGACTCCGACTTACATATTCACCCATCTTCCACCATGGGTGGCATTGCCTACTCAAACGGCGATTAGAGAGATGTCATGTCTCACGTCATTCCACTAGGGGTTATTGTGTTTACCTTGGCGAGAACATTGTCTCATGGTCCTCCAAATGCCAAACCACAGTTTCCATATCAGCGGCAGAAGCTAAATGTCGAACTATTATAAATGTTGTTGAAGTGACCTTTTGGCTCCGAATTTAGATCTAGTTTGAGCATTCTTTCGTCTACTACCCTTCAAAATGGAGGGACGTATTAGTGAATATTTTATTATGTATATTAGCTCATTTTAGTTAGCCCATTGCATTTGTATAGATAGGCTCATTTATATTATCTTTGTATATATGTATATATGGATTATGTGAATGTAGGGATGTCAACAAGAGTAAACGGGACGGGGGTTGCACCCCCATCTCCCATCGCCAAAATTTTCCTGTTCCCCCGGCCACACCCCCGCCCCCGCCTCCGCCCCTGAAATCTCCACTCTCCCCACCCCCATCCCGCTCCTAAATTCCTTGATTAACCACGGGTTCGGGATATCACCATACTTTTTGATATCCCTACGTGAATAGAATGGAAGGCATGGGGGAGTATTAACCCTAATTAATCAACATGCTACCATGTGGGATTTGAGAGTCAAAGACATAATTCATTGATTGTACCAAAAGGGATATTTAAATACCAAGTCTGAAATAAATAAACACATAATTCAAACTATCAAGTACATAAAGACATAGAAAAACCTTGAACATAACGACGTAAGGTTTCCTTCAACGTGTTATATAATATGTATTTTACTTATATGTGAAACTGATTATATAGTAACTATGTTCTAGATATAGTAAGACCTGAATATTCATATATTTTCTTTATGTTGTTCAAAAGTCAATTGACATAATCAATTGCTTGCGCCTGCCTTTATGAAAGATAATCTTCTTCCTGATCTTTCGGAGAGGTTTATAACGACGCAATAAACTTTTGAAGCAAAAGCAAAAGAATACCTACTCACTCCCGTTTTCCATATATGACTCAAATAGGTAATAGGTGATCGCCCATAAGGTCATAGCGTGTTATTGGCTTACTTTGACCATACATCTAAGCATGGGATTAAAATATATACATATATAAAAAAAAAAAAAAGCACGTTTTCTGGAAGCAAGTGACAAGAAATATTAATACCATTTATCGAGACACGGAGTTTACATTTGCACATGCCTGGGTTGAATAAACAAACCTTAAACAAGTCTTTTAGCTACAATATAAAAACAAAGGAATTTCTCCTCATCCTCAATTGAATTGACAAAAAGCAGACTTCTCCTTCATTGAAAGGTAAAAACTTTATCCCCTCTCATCACTCTCACTCCAACGAAAATTTTCTTCTATATCATCCGTTTTTAAATCAACTTTGTTGTTAAATTTAAAGAAATTTGATGTACATATTATTGCAGATTACCTAGAGTTGAACATATTAAGATCGCAAGTAGTAATGGATTTGTCACCAGTATGGTTATCAGAAATGGTAAGCAACACATTCAGATTGCCTTGCGTATATTCAAGCCTTATCAGTAAAAATATATATAGTCTTCATGAACTTATTTTAATGGAATTTTGGATCTCTACTACAGGAAACGGAAGATATAGGATTCATGAATGGTGATGAAATAAGCCAACTTTATGACACCATTATTGATAACTTCAGCGTTGATTCATTTTCCTCAGAATGCTATACTGAAAACATGACGCCTATCGACCAATCTTTTCAGAAAAGATGCAGTACTTTTAAGAAAGAATCTCCAACCCCAGAACCCCTTGTTGCTACTAGTCTTCCTTCATCCAACACTTTCACCATATCATTCGGAGATCTAAAACCTAAAAACGAGATGCGACAAATTGATGATTCACTTGGATATGAAGCTACTGGTGCCACAAAGACTCCAATAATACCCAGGAATCCGATTCAAGCACAAGATCATGTTTTGGCAGAGAGGAAGAGAAGAGAAAAGTTGAATCGACACTTCATTTCCTTATCTTCCCTCATCCCTAAGCTTAAGAAGGTACTTGTTTCTTTTTTACGATAAAACTCTGTCTTAAGAACTTGTTAACAGACTCAAATCACATAAATAATTAACAAAATATAGATGAAGTAATTGATGTTTGAACTTTTGTAGATGGACAAGGCATCTGTGCTTGAAGACGCATCTACTTACATAAAAGAACTTCAAGATCGGGTGAAGGAACTGGAGAGATTATCAGGAACGAAGAGAAAGAACGTTCAAGAATCCGTTATTTCCATAACGAGGTCTAGGCTTAGTACTAGCGATGATGAATACTACTCATCTGATGAAACGAACTCTGAAGACAATACTCATCTTTGCAAATTGTCACCTGAGATTGAAGTTCGAATGTCAGGAAGTAGTGTTCTTGTAAGAATTGAGTGCCAGAAAAACTTTTCTTCCTTGATGAAATCATTAACCCATTTGCAAAAGCTTGGATTGTCGATCATTAGTAGCAGTGCCATGCCTTTTGCTAAGGACACACTTGTAATCAATATTGTTGCTCAGGTATACATTTTCTGAAACCCTAATCGCGATTAATGATAACAATAGTGAAATTATCCCCCACCTTTAATAATTAATCATTCGAATTAATGTATTGGAGTGTGGTGATGATTAATATTTTTTCTGTGTCATGATTGGAAAATAATATTTGTATCGGCATCTAAATCGGAAGTTCTATTTTTTTATTTATGCAGATTGAGGATGACTTTTGTATGACTGCAGCTGAACTTGTAAAGAACCTGAAGCTAGCTATATGAACATTTGATGAAACACAATTAGTAGTTCAAGATTTCCATGTACTTAGACGATTGTTCATTACTTGGTTTTCTGTTTTTATATCATAGTTTAGAAGGAGGAAATTTGAGAAGATTCTCATCCCCATCGTTGGGTTTTTTTCGAGTACTCCAGAAGAAGTATAGGAGGCCATAACTCGAACTGCGTGTAGGATTTTTTTTCATGGATTATTTCCTCCTCTTTGTGATAGATGGAATGGTTTCATGAGTTGTCCACAATAGGATTTGTAAGCTTTTTGCGTGGTTGACCACGTTCATTAATTTACCTTTGTGATCATATGCGAATAAAATCACCAGCTCATTCTCATTATTTTACTTGAATTTGATGATGTATGTATTGTGGAAGGCTAATATATATGTGCACATGATGCCGTGTTGTCTCTTTTGGTTTATTCACTTAACAAATTGTATTTACATGACTAAATGATAATTAAATTAGTGTAATTTTACCTTATGTGATTTCAATCAATGTACTTACATGAGAAAAGTGTAAAATGGAAAGAAGAGCCAAAAGTGAGGTTACATCGACACTTTAACACCTTAAGTGGTGTTGGAGGGATCAAAGTGGAATTGAAAAATTATTAATATTTACCTATCTTATTGTCTTTACACCATGAAGAAAATTATTTAATGGTAACTAGCAATGGTGCCAACCACCCAAAGAGAAATGTAAAGTTGGGACACCCAACTCCGACACCAATCCCAAGGACAAGATGAAGGCTCACTTTGAGATATATCTTACAAGTAATCCTCAAGAAGCTATTTTCTTCTATAACGTACTAAAGGAACACTAATAGCGTAGCTATCCTAAATACCAAGAATATAAAGAAGAAAAAAGTCAACTGGTGCGACACTCCAGGTATCTACATGGTTGTTGTCAAGAGGATTGGGGACTACGAGCATATGTTTTCTACTAGATTTTCTATCGTGTTATAAGATTGATTCGATTCACTAGAAATGGGTACAAAAATTATTTTTATTCATGTATTGTATTGAGATGGTTTTGATTTTGAATATGAAAATAGTACTATTTCCGTTTACAAGAATAATGAACATTATTTTTAAGCAAATCCATGTAATGGTATTTATGAAACAGTTATATGCATTAGAAAAAATCATAGCACAATATTAAACAATGATTAAAATTTATCCAAAGATAGTTTGCATACATCATGTATATGAGATTATCATCTTGATCATATAAATAGGAAAAACATCACCAAGCTCCAAGTAAATGGGATCTTGAAATCATTTGCTCAAAGATGATGTATGTGAGTATTGTTTATTAGGAATGAGGATAAATGCATCATTCATAGGAAACTATGAATGATACAGGTGGAGAATATCTTAGTCAATATTTCAGCAATCATCTAAAGAATTATGGAATAGTTTCAAAGATCACTCCTCCACGAACACCATTGCATAATAGTGTGCCTAAGAATAGGAACCATGGATTAATTGATATGGTTTTGTCCGTGATGGGTCGCGTCACGCTTCTAAACATTTTCTGGGCTACAACTTAAAGATCGGTGCTAAAGTATTGTGTCTCGTACCAACTAAGAAAGTTTCCAACAGGCTCCCTATAATATGGGGTAAGATTAAGCTTGGTTGTGAGGATTTTTTCCCACAAAGACACATAATGGAAGCATTCAAAACAAAAAAATAATAACTTATAAACCTAAGAATCAGCTCCATGTTCAACCAATCTAAGCAAAAAAAAATCAATCAACAAAACAAACTATAACCCCTCTAATGTAGTCGTACTTAAGAAGCAAATAAACAACACTTGAGTTGATTGAATCAACCACCAAGTGAAAACCTAAGCAATTAGGGCTTTTGTTCTTCATTCGCAGAATAAGGAGAAGAAGGACGAGGCATGATAACAATGACGATCAAGTTTTTAGAGAAGGAAGAGGACAACCGAATACTTAGATATATCTAGGAGAATCATTGGATTGAGATAAGGTAGATACATAGATATAGTCTTGAAGAAATTCAAAATGTATGAATCTAAAAAAGGGTCCATGCCCACACAACATGGTGTGACATTGATCAAAGCTTACTATTATATATCTAGGGACTGACTGGAGAAAATTATTCAGGTTACATACATTTTGGATGTATGATCGATCGTGTACGAAATCATATATGTATAACACCTCATGTCTCGTATGCTTTCAGTTTGATGTTTCGTTATCAAGATACACCTTGGTAAAAATATTTTGATTGTAGTCAAGAACATTCTTAACTATCTTAGGATGACAAAGGACGTGTTTTTCATTTATAAAGGTGTGAAGGAGCTTAATATAAAGGGTTATACTAATATTGTTGGAAATAATGCATACAGACACAACAATTTGTATATTCCTGTTAATGGCAGACTTCTTTTAACTTACATGCAAGGACAAATTTAAGCATTTATTGTGTGACATCTCTCAATTCATATCATAGACTGTGAACGGTTAAATTATAGTAAAACTCTTTTTAATTTGATCCATTGAGTTTTAGTGCATCTAATGTAAAATAAAGTGGTTCATTTCAAATATTATAAGATACTAGATGATATCTTAATTCCAAATGTGTTAACTATCAAACGAATCAAACAGCTCAAACTATAGCATTAGTTAATGCGTCTGAAAAAACTGAAAATTTGTATTACGCAGTTATGAGTAAAAGAAACACTAAAACCTTATATTATATGCTCATTTGTTTCCGAAAATATAAAGAACGTCCAAAACTGAGTTCATGTTCAAAAGATATGATAGTTTTAAGAAAACAAGCAGGAAAACACTAACATTCTTTAATTACGTAAAATTGAATCGATCCGTTAAGATACTTACAAACCTCTTATGGAAATTCTAAGAGCTTTTTTGTACTCAGACTATGGCCTAATATTTAATTTCATAATCAAAATTTTTGCAAAAATCGAAAAATCAAGCATTCGGGTCATTTAGACGCGAAACTTTAAACATGATTTCCCAGAATTCCGTAACTTGAATTAATCCTTGAACCTGAATCTATCAAAGGACACAGTAGAAATAATATTAGATGACCCGAACCCGGTACACAAATCAAGGAGCATTTTAGGGCATGTAATATTAGATTTGGTCACTATGGTGGGCCCCACTTATCAGCCAGGAGGCACTGTCCAAACCCCTCCCTTCCTTCCTCCCATCCCTCTTTGCCCAACACTCCACCATAAGTATTAAGCATGGGTTTGATGAAGTGTTTGGCCTTCCTAGAAGGCATGGACTTGCAAGCTTAAGAGAGGAACCTTACTGGTATAAATAAAGGGTCTTGGAGACCCTCAATCACACACCAAAACTCAGCACTTCTCCTTCTTTGTCTCTATTTCTGTTGCTCTCGGATCACCTACCAAACCTAGTTTTGACCCCTCCTTGAAAAACCACCTTGTTCCACCACTGAAACCCACCTTGTACAACCCTCTATTGATCGAAACCACCACCTCAACCCTTCCCTGACCATCCCCTCTCCTCCCCTCATCAAATTCCGCTAAGAAAAATAAAGAGGAAAGTGGCAGCCACCTTGCTGCCACCCCATTGCCACCACCAAGAAAAACACACCAGTGTCGGAATTGCTACTGTTTTGCTGTCGTGGACGAACCCCCCCCCACCCCCCCCCCCCACACACACACAACACCTCTATCCCTCCCCATTTATTGATCACCACCAGAAGAAGAAGACGAAGGCAGCAATAGGCTGCCGAAAGCCTCACACCACCCCACTTCTGCCCTTCACTACCAACGTGTACCACCATCTTCAACCCTCATCACCACCATCGTAAGTCTACTCTACCGCCACCATTGTTAATTTGTTTTCTATTGATCAAAATTTCAAGCCAAAACAACTTATTTATTTATTGGTTTATTATTTACTATTCATTTGCATAGATGACGAGCAGGAGGATAAAAGCTTATGTTCCAAACTTTATTTTAAAATATTCATAAACCTCACTCCCAAAAAAAAAACAAAAAACAAAAAAACCTTTGCCAAAATAAGACTCAAACTACCCAAACTTCGTTTTTTAATGTCCCAGATCCACCCTTTTTCAAAATGTCTTTACAAACCAAATCCAAACCTTACAAACTTCATATTAAAATTTTCAAAATCTACCCCTACACAAAAATTCTTTCAAAATAGGTCTACATCAATTAAAATAAGTCTAAATCAATTAAACCTCATCTTGAGATTTATTTTCAAAATAGGTCCAAAACTTAAACATAGAATTTAAATAAATCATTTAGTCCCTCATTTGGAAATTATTAACTAATTTAGTCCCATTTAATTTGTTTTAATTAATAAATGGGCCATATGCTTTGGTTAAATTACCAAATAACCCTCAACATATTAATTTATATTAAAATTTCCTATGAAAGTAAATTAGTCTCGTTGGTTCGTGTTTAAGGCAACACATCTCGGTTTCTCGCTTCCAATACTCGAAACGACCCGACAACCATACTTTAAGGTTATTGTTACGGCCCTTCTTTTATATTTTTACATATTTTTTAGGAGAATACATTTACAATATTATATAAATTCATACATAATAAACATAATATATTATTATTTTATGCAAATACTATATTAGTTATGAAACAATAGTTTGATATTTACATGTCATAAACTAGTTTTCAACATCAATATGTTCATATGTTATGTTACTAGAATAATACAACTACTAAAATAACATAGGCCTTGTCACTACAAAGTTTATACAAGAAACATACTTAGTTATAAAAGATAGTTTCTTATACTATAAATGCATACAAATTATGCTTGGCTTTTATAAACTTTGTAAAAATTTATTATGCCTAATAACTTATCCACTTATAAGTTAGGGCTGAGAGCTTTTCACATTCCTTAGTTATGGGCTTTTTAGTGAGACTCTATTCATTTGCAAAGTCTAAAAACTTAGCATACTCACACTACTATAACTATTGATCTTCGAAGTGAGACATATATGTGTGTGTGTGTATATATATATATATATATATATATATATATATATATATATATATATATATATATATAGGGTTGACTTCCCTACATGCGGTTGTTAGCTACAATAACAACCGATCAATCGAAGCAGGTGATAAGTTTCTACAATCATTACTACGGCGTATAATGAAGTGACATAAGGGGGTATATATAGTCACATAGCTTGGTTATAGGATTCACAATAAACATTAAATAGAAACTCTCTCTCTTACTACAAACTGTGGGCTTGGTTGTTTTCAAATCTATTTTTAAGTATGGAATTACTTATGCAAGTTCTAAAGTTTGTTCTTTATCGAAAAAAAAAATTAAAAATATATAAATTCATAACTTCACATTGTGAATGTTAATTATATTTTT